GGGCTGGTCTCTGGAAGGAGATACACGGGTCAGAGATCTGAATGACATACTGTTAGTATCTGGCCCAGGTGACAGGAGCCTGGGGGTGGGGGTAAGGGTGGGGGTGGAGGTAGAGTGTGAGTCAAAATGAAGGTCATTGTGTGAGGCCAGAGGAGAGGCAACTGGGGAGAGAGAGGGAGAGTGGAATCCTATGGCGAGTAACTTCTACATTCAAGGAAGGGCCCAGGAAGGAGCATGGGTTTTATTTTCAATGCAATGAGGATGTATCTCTTTAACACCTTTCTGACCCTTCTCTCTGGGTGAACTGCAGATGGCTGTCTGCACCTGCCTACCACTTCTGGTCTTGAGGGCATCCTCAGAGCCAGGGGCTTTTACTTCCCAAGGCATTTAGATAAAAAAAAATTATATATATAACACAAAACTGCATCCCGTCTTTTTGGTGCAAGCAACATTATGACAAGAGACAAAGGAAAAGCAATCACTTCCCCATCTCCACCGTAACTAGCAAGACACTTCTCAGGTTTCCTGTGATGGTCCAGCTCTTGCCAATAGGCACACTTTTTCATACCTTTCATTAGGTGAAAATGACCCCTGGTGTGGAGCGAACGATCGTTTACAGCGAATACTTTCCGCCCCCTCTGTCTTCCTTTCTCCAGCCCACCAACTTGCTGAAACTAACACCGTTAGCCAATGCCGCCCGGCATTGTGGGAATTCTTCTAAGTGCATGGTCTCAAATAATCAACGTAACAACGCTGTGAGGTAAGTGCTATTATTATTCTCACTTTACATAGGACAAAACCAGGAGGCTCTGAGAGATTACACACATTGCCGAAGATCGTGTAAATTGTCGCCAGTAGTGACACAGTCAGGATTCAAATCCAAAGCCACTGTGCCCTGGATCCTCATTTTGACACCCCCCCACCCCCACCCCTGCTGCTCCGTCAATTATAAGGAAACTTCACCAAACCAGGTTCTTTCAAAAAGAGCATGGCTTCTGCCTAGTTGGGCTGAGAAAGGGACTGTCATGGGGTTTCCTTCATCCTTATCTCACACACTGACTGTAAATAATGCTGATCCTTAGCATGCATATAGCTTGGTAAATAGGCACTTAAATGTTTATCAGCGTCTTTCAAATACCTGATCTCACTTGATACTCAGACACTAACCCTGTGGCAAGGGCTCTGAGGAGAGAGGACAGGGAACCGCAGTGACCAGCCCAAGGTCAGCTAGGCCACAGGAGTCTTCTGCTGCCAGACCAGGAAGACCCAAGTGGGTAGTGGCTGGTGTTGTGGGCAGATACTAAAGTTCTCTTTGCCCTGTCAGTGGACTTCCCTGGGCTGGATGTCACCACGGAGACGAGGTGGGGCTGGGTGTTCTCCATTTGCTCCTGCATAAAGGGTTATGTGCTGGGCTCTTGAGTTGCTTCAACACTTGCCCCAGACGCTTGCCTTTTATTTTGATTTGCCATTTCGTGTATCACTGTCTCCCGAGGAGTCCTGTGAAGTAATGCAGGCATCTCATGCCCAAGGTGACCCAGTTGGGTCGAGGCAAAGGTACTAGATTCGCCATTCCAGTTTTCCCTGTCAGCACAAAACATCAATGCTACCGGCAAAAACAACTCTGCTCCCCAATAGTTTAGGGTTCACAAGGGCTTTCACATCTATTATCCCAGTAATTCCCAGGGAGGCAGCCAGGCAGGAAGACTTGCTGTTGTTTGTGCCCATTGTATAGATGAGGAATCTGAGTCTCAGAGAACTAGTAAGTGGTACTGTCAGGACTAGAGTCCAATTTGTCCAAGAGGAATCCAAACTTTGTCCATGCTTTTTCTACTACATGATGCCTTTCTCTTTTTATTTTCTAAAAAATAGACATGAAATGTCCAGCAGCCTTAAAATGGTTTCTTTACTGCCGTCCTCCCCTCCTCCCTCCCAGGATAATGCACCTTATAGATCTGTTCTCCAGGCAGCCTCTGAGCATCTGGCAAATGGTAGGATCTCTCCCCATGGCAGCTGGAAGCCAGCGAGTGAAATATTGACCAAGTTATTGACATAATGGCTCCCCATGTTTGTGTAGGCATCAGGCAGTTACAGATTGCTTTTTAACACTCTCTTTTAAAATGAAAATAAACATGACAATAAGCCCAAAATGGCCTTAATAGAATGTCAAGGACAATCAATACTGGAGCAGGGTTAAGTGTATAGTCCGGGGAGGGGACCCAGGGGGAGACACATTCTGTCTATCTAAACACACGATGGGGCTGAGGGGCCTGCAGGCTAGGCCTTTGGGAACTGGACGAGGGGTTTGGGTAGGGGTGAGGAAGGAGCAGTTAGGGAGCTCGTGGATGGAAAGATCACTGACTCCAGGTGGATGAACTCAGGGGATCCCCGCTGGTGACATCTAGAGCAATAGCCTGTCAATGAGGTCGTCCTCTAAGGGGTGAACTATCACCTAACAAAGCAGATATGCAAATCGAAAGGAGATAGAGCAGCTGACAGAGCCAGGGTATCCAGAACGTTAACATATCTAAAGAAGGATTGTATTTACTGGGTCATTTCTGGAATCTGGGAAAACGGGAACTGCAGAGGCCAATGGGGTCTCAGCACGGAACGTGGAGCCTTTCTCTATCAGGGTCGGTGGAGACCGATGCTCCAGGACACAGGAGCACAGACCTGCCACACTTTCAGTCCCTGTATCTGGGCCCCTCCATGCTTCTTCAGCAGGTCTGTCTGTAAAGAGAACCTCTGCTGAGGCCAGGAACCTCCGAGCACGTGGGGGTTGGGGAAGAAGTGTTAGACACCATGATGAAGTGAGCAATGGCTGTGGGCAAGGAGGGGGTGGGTATTCTGACTAACAATTGGGTTTGGCCAACACAAGATCTCGGTGACCTTGGTTAGAACTGTTTCAGTAGCAGAATGGGCGTGGGGCCAGCTTGTGGGCTGTGCAGGATGGGAGAGGAAGAGAGTTGAGCCAACTGCAGTGAGAGCGAAGGTAATAGCGGGGGGGGGGGGGGGGGGGGGGAA